GGAGGGAGGAAGGGAGGGGGGAAGGAAAGAAGGAAGGGAGAAAGGAAGGAACAAAGGAAGGGAGGGAGGGAGGGAGGAAAAGAGGGAGGGAAGAAGGAAGGAAGGGAGAGAGGGAGAACGGAAAAAACGGGAGGGAAGGAGGGAGGAAGGGAGGGAGGGAGGAAGGAAGGGAGGGAGGTAGGGAGAAAAGAAAGAAGGAAGGGAGGTAGGGAGGAAGAAAGGAAGGGAGGGAGGGAGGAAGGAAGGGAGGGAGGGAGGAAGGGAGGGAGGGAGGGAGGGAGAAAGGAAAAAAGGAAGGAAGGGAGGGAGGGAGGAAGGAAGGAAGGGAGGGAGGGAGGAAAGAAGGAAGCCAGCCAGCCTCTTGTTCTCTGTCCCTACATGGTGGGGTATCAGGATCACTTGGGGAGATAATTTTTAAAAATAGATTCTTGAATCTCACCTCTAGAGGTTTTAATATAGGATATTTTGGTTGGGACCCAGACATCTGTATTTTAACAGGCAGTTGCCACAGGCAGTTGGTTCAAGATTATACTTTGAGAATTACTGACCTAGGAACTGAAAAAACTTCAAAGATCAAAAGCATGTCAGGCTTTTTAGCCCCTTTTTAGCTCATTCTGCAAGGAACTATGGTTGAACATACCTTAGAAGTTTAGGTAGTAAAACTCAAGGATTTCCTGGGTGAATAACCAAGTTAAAACGTGTAATGTATTTAGCATTATTCTTGTTACATTTCATAAGTAAGCACTCTGACTACAGTCCCTTAGAATGTAAGTCTATGAGGGAAGGAAGGTCGCCTGTTTTCATCACTGTATGTAATGCTTGTACTTCGAAGAGTTGATAGACACATGGGGGGGGGCACCAAAATGTTTGTTGATTTAATAAATTAATTCTATTTCCTAGACCTTTAGCATAGAGACTCAAAGTTTGTGCTTTGGAGTTAGATGAAGCTGTGTTTGTGACTTGCTCACCACATGAACATAAGATGAGTTGTTTAACTTCTTTGAAGCTCAGTGTCTTCATCTGTCACCTGGAGACAATAAGACATTATAGGACTGTGAGGAATAAATAAAATGATGCATTTAGAGTATTTAGTATACTATAGATACTCAATAAATGTTATATACAGCTATTATTATTATAATTAACGCTATTATTAGCATTGCCCTGATTTTTCTGACTGTGAATGTTTGGTGCTCAATTGCCAAGCCTTATTTTAATGCCATCTGGTCAGATGTCTGTATATGCAGTTGACCCTGAACAGCATGGCTTTGAACTGCAGGGGTCCACTTAGAGGTGGATTTTTTTTTTTTACAAAGTACAGTACTTTAAATGTATTTTCTCATCCTTATGATTTTCTTAATAACATTTTCTTTTCTCTAGTTTACTTTATTATAAGAATATAATATTTAATACATATAACATATAAAACATGTGTTAATTGACTATATAAGTTATCAGGCTTCCAGTCAACAGTAGGCTTTTAGTAGTTAAGTTTTTGGAGTGTCAAAAGATATATGTGTGTTGTGCATGTTGTGCAAGGGTCAACTATGGTTACCCCGACTTAGATAATCTGTTTAGATTCTCTCAGTCTCATTGGAATGTGACAAATTCCTCAATATTCTTAAGTACAGGCATACGTCATTCTATTGCCCTCCATCTCACCGTACTCTCAGATACTGGGTTTTTTACAAACTGAAGGTTTGTGATAACCTTATCAAGCAACTCTACTGGTGTCATTTTTCCAACACCATTTTCTCACTTCATGTGTCTGTCACATTTTGTTAACTCTTACACTATTTCACACTTTTTCACGATTGTATTTGTTACGGTGATCTGTGATCGGTGATTACAGCTCACTGAAATCTCAGATGATGGTTAGCATGTTTTTAGCAATAAAGTATTTTTTAATTAAGGTCTATAAAATTTTTTTAGACATAATGCTATTGCACACTTAATAGACTACAGTATAGTGTAAACATAATTTTTATATGCACTGGGAAACCAAAACATTCATTTGACCTGCTTTATTGTGATATTCTCTTTATTGCAGTAGTTTGGCACCAAACCTGCAGTATCTCTGAGGTTTGTCCATTTAGGGTGGGGAGAAAAAAAATGTTAGACCTACTACATGTCCGTCGTGTACAAAATAAAATGTTTAAAGCATTTTATATTAACACATGGATTCTTCACAAGAGCACTGTGGAGTAGGTGTTGATTTTTCCAATTTCATGTGGGGAGTTTAAACTCAAAAGTTAAATAACTTGTTCAGCATTATACTCAAAACCAAGTGCTTTATCTACATTTTCATTTAGTAGTTCTGTCTCCTCAGTCTCTCAGTGGAACATTTTTAATAATATTTTGGATTATCAAGTACAAAATTAGTTCCTTTTCTCACTTCCTTTCCAATGTCATGGTTCTTATTTTATTTTATTAAGATTTTTATTTATTTATTTGACAGAGAGAGACACAGCGAGAGAGGGAACACAAGCAGGGGGAGTGGGAGAGGGAGAAGCAGGCTTCCCGTGGAGCAGGGAGCCCGATGTGGGGCTCGATTCCAGGGTCCTGGGATCATGACGTGAGCCAAAGGCAGACACTTGGTGTGCCGGGTGGCTCAGCTGTTAGGCGTCTGCCTTTGGCTCAGGTCATGATCCCAGGGTCCTGGGATCAAGCCCCACATCGGGCTCCCTGCTCAGCAGGAAGCCTGCTTCTCCCTCTCCCACTCCCCCTGCTTGTGTTCCTTCTCTCGCTGTGTCTCTGCCTGTCAAATAAATAAACAAAATCTTAAAAAAAAAAAAAAAGGCAGATGCTTAACAACTGAGCCACCCAGGCACCCCATGTTTCTTGTTTTAAAAGCCTTTAGCCTCTCAACTCTTCAGTTCTAGACACCTCCTCTCTTAGATCTTTGGAGAAACATAGGCATAAATATATTTCGAAAACTAAATATTTCAAGTCACTCCTACCCTAAAGGAGGTGAAGCCTCCTTCCTTTTCCTTTTGAAAACAAAATGGATTTAATTGGAAAGAACATAGAGTAGTGACTCAGAGTTAAAACTCCTAATTTTAAGGGCGCCTGGGTGGCTCAGTTGGTTAAGCGACTGCCTTCGGCTCAGGTCATGATCCTGGAGTCCTGGGATCGAGTCCCGCATCGGGCTCCCTGCTTGGCAGGGAGTCTGCTTCTCCCTCTGACCCACCTCCCTCTCATGCTCTCTGTCTCTCATTCTCTCTGTCTCAAATAAATAAATAAAATCTTTAAAAAAAAAAAAAAAAACTCCTAATTTTAAGACTAATCTTGTTTAAGATGATACCTGATAAGGGATACACCTAAACCACAGATTAGAGATATGTATTATCTCTATTGATTGAGAAACTACTGATGACAAGAAGTTGCTATGAATTTTTTTTATGTTAGCTGTCACAGCAGCACTTACGTCCATTAGGAAATAGTGCAGGGAAGTAAGAGACACATCATGCCTTCGTTTTTATACAAGACTAATAGCACATACTCATCCAAGGCTCTCCATAGACCGTAGGATGGAAAGCTCCATCCTACAGGCATTTCCATAGCCAGCCGTGGATGAGAAAACAGCATTATAATGGGGAGACTTTACAAATACCCATTGTTAAGTGGGGACTAGGGCAATAAGGCTGAAGTCTGGTTTTTTAAGAAATATCCAAAAAACTTCCTTATCCTTAAAGGAAAGAGAGAAAGAAAGAAAAAAGAAAGAGAAAGGAAGTAAGTCCAACAAATAGTTTCCATCTTGTATGTGCCTGTTCCTTCCTCTAATTGGATGTGGTTGTATTCCAGTATTTGATTTATATGTTACATATAGCTGCCTCATATGTAGAATAGAAATTAAAAAGTTCCTTTCCTCATGCAAAAAAAGATGATACATGATAAATGTAAGTATTTTAAAAGAAGATATTTTACAAATACACTTAATATTAATTTCCTAATTATTTTCATGTATCTTTTTTTTTTTAGGATCCTTCCTGAGCGTTTCCTGGTATTTTTAAAACGAATGATCAATGTTAACTTTGATGCAGTTATTGGATATAAAACTAAAGAACAATAAGTCGTACATAGACTACATTCCACATTTAGTTGATGTGAATACATATCTTCAAAAATACCTGCTTTCCAAAACATCATTATATTTAGGTAGCATAACTTAAATTCTTCTTCATACATTAGCTATAAATAAATAGGACTGGTTTACCAGGGTTAAGTTGATTTCATCTAATATTAATCAGAACTTTAATGTTTAGACTTCTGCTTTTCCTAATTATCTTTTTTTTCTTCAGTGTCATCTTTTGAGGCCCTGGCAGTCCTCATTTATTATCACTTGTCCTTTATCTGAAAGCTGATTTCATATAATACAAAGAGGGGACAATCTTAGGAATTGACCTTATAGAAAATAGAGAAAAGGAACAAAAATAATTTTATAATAATTTCTAAGATTTTGTGGCTTGTGAAGTCTTTGCAAAATTTGTACTATAAATGTATAAGATATATTTTTATTTCTAATTGCATTTAAATTTATATAATTCACATGTTTCCTTTTCTAATCTCCATAAAAACAAAAGCTTCAGACTCTCTAAATACAATGAAGGACTGAATCTAGTGGCCTTTCAGAATGAGTTTCATGTGATGTAAGAAATATCACTGAAACATTTCATCTTACACATTACCACTCTGTTTCCTGAAAGATGCCTCACGTTTCAAAGCCAAACATTTCAGCTCAAAGAAACTAGAGATTTACACGTGTTACACATATATAAAAGCATCATTGGAATTTGAGGTAGAGAATTAGGAGAATGTACCCACAGTGGCAACAATAAACAGATCACACTTAAACTTTTGTCTCCATCTTTTCATCTTGAACAGAACTTGGCTTAACCTTCAAATTCAAGGAAAATGGATTATGTAATCAAAGATCTTTTTTTTTTTAATACTCAGAAATTTCTTGGATGTGAGGGATGCTCAGTGAGATAGAGAATATAAGATCTGACCTATAAATTGAAAAAATAAGCAGGTTTGTTGGATTTCTTTTTTTTAAGATTTTATTTATTTATTTTGAGAGAGAGAGTGAGCCAGCATGCATAAGCAGGGGGAGTGGCAGGCAGAGGGAGAAGCAGGCTCCCTGCTTATATCAGAAGGTTCATACTCAGAAAACATATAAATCAGAATACTGACCCTTATGAAATGGAGCAAATGAGTCACATTAGGTACATAAACTTCAGGGTAAAAGATCTTAAATCTGTTTCTCCACAGAAACATATTTATTTAATATTTATTTATTTACCTCCAGCAATTCTGTGTAGCAGGCGATGTTGAAGGCATTGGTGAAATTCCCATAGGGAGCAGGAACCCAGAAGAACCTTAGAGGCTGCAGCCCCAGGTCTGCTGAGAGGTTAATGAATACTGTAGAGGTTCTGGGCTTTTATTCTCTGCCCTTTAAAAAAAAAAAAAAAGTTTGCTCTGATTCACTAACATCAGGCAATTACTGCTGTTGACTTGAAGGTCTGAAAACTTTTTTTTTTTTAATTTCAGATATTTAAAGGTCTGAAAACTTTTAACTGTTATTTGAGTGAATGAATTCTAACTCTGAACCCACTTCTGTACAATTCAGTGGGAAAATTCATCTCAGCCATCAATAATAGGGCTGCTTCTGAGAGTCACACAAAAATCAAAGAGGCTTATGTTGTCTTGGGGTAAACGGGAAAGATTTCTCTAATTGTCACCTGTCATGGTATTCTGTGGTCCTAAACTAAGACCTTGATAACAGACAGCCCTCTCTTTTGTGCGGTAGGGAAATTCTGACCATTGGCAAGGAACCAGCTCTCCCTGGACACACCAAAGTCTTTCTGAACCCTTGCTATCATCCTGTGGGCCCTGCCATGGGATAACTAGGACTCACTGACCTTTCCTATTCCCTTTGAGAATGTTCCCATACTTGCCTTCAGAAACACTCTTCCCCACCCCTTTTCCCATGCCACCATTCTCACTTGCCAGAAATCTATTCTTTATAATGGAAATGAGGATTAGAAAGAGTGAGGAATCAGGTCAAGGAAAAGGGTTAAAATTGACCCTTATGTTGTCAACACCAACTTGGCTAGTGCGTAAATAGCTAGTAAGGATTTTGCTGTGGGGAAGGGAGCAATTATTAGGAGTTTCCTCTCCCAGGCTGGGTGATAGATTTACTCCTTTGAAGAATTCTGTGTGGGAGACATCATTCTTCCCATTTTATAGATGGGGTAGCCCAAAGAGATTCAACATATTTAACCTAAAATCACACAGCTACTCAGAAGTCAAGATAAGGATTTGAACGCATGTTTGCTGACCTCACTATCCTACAGCCTCAGTGAAATTCTTGGAAAGTCAAACCATCACCCTAAACACCCTCTGCTTCCTTTTACCAAGCTTTCCTTGGTATTCAAACAATATTCCATAATTAGCCAATGATAATCTCTGATTGGAGCTCTTTCATCTACGAATTATTTTAAGGTGGAACAAAATGCTACATGCAGATGCCCAAGTATTCTACCTGAAAAAAGTCTAGCTTGGACTGACCCAATATCACGACAGTCTAAAGTTTCCTGAAATTAAAATGCTGAGCCTGAAAACACTGGGATAGTCTTGATCTACACTGGACATCACATCCTTCTCCAAAATACATAGGAATTCCCACTTGACCTTAGAGCCAATCTGACCACTCAAGTTTTTTTTTTCTTTTTCTCTTTAATTTCCTCTTTTTTTTTTTTTTTTAATTGGTGTAGGGATGACTGGACAATCTTGGGATGAGAGAGATGTGCCTTTTACTTTCATAGTCTTCCCTATAATTACAAGTGGCCAAGTATGGCAAAAAGAGCACTGGGCAATCTAACTCAAGCTAGCTGTGCTGGAACCTCCATTTCCTCATCTGTAAAAGGACTGAATTAGACTGTGTAATCTCCTCTATTATCTCCAGTTCCAGTTCCATAAATGTCTTATAATCAATACATGCAAAATCTAGCGTCTTCTCTACACCATCTGTGTTCCCTAACAGAGAATGGCGTGTCTACCAAGTGTCCAAGCTAAAAACTTAGAATTACACCTGCCTCCTTCCTTCTGCTCACCCTCATCCCTCACTTCACCAAAATCCTCTAACCTCTGGCACACACATTCAATATTGGTCACCATTCCCACATTTATATTTCCAGCCTGAATCTCTCCTCTGAATGTCACACACATATGCAACCGCCTTCTTGATGTCTCTGCCAGTATGACCGGCAGGCATCTCACCCTAAGATTTCTGAAAATGAGCTTGTGATGTTGTCCCAAACCTGTTCCAAACCCCATTATTCCAGTTGCTCAGGCCAAAAAACTTAGTGTCACCCTTGATTCCTCCCACATTCATTACAAAAGCAATTCTGTTTGCTCTACCTTGAGAATATATCCAGAATTCTATCACCTCTTATCACCCCCCTACCACCACCCTGATGCCACCCTGCCACCATCATCTCTTGTTCCCCTCAGCACAGCAGCCAGAATGAGTCTTTTTTTTATATATATATATATATATATTTTTTTTTTTTTTTTTTTTTAAGTAGGTTCTATGCCCAGCATGGAGCCCAATGTGGGGCCTGAACTCAGGACCTTGAGATCAAGACCTGAGCTGAGATCAGGAGTCAGACACTTAACTGACTGAGCCACCTAGGCACCCCCCAGAACGAGTCTTTAAAATATGAGATCACGTCATGCTTTAGCTCAAAATCCCCCATTAGCTTCTCACCTAAAACTTAAAACTGAAGTCCTTACCATGACCTAGAAGGCCATACGTAATCCAGTCTTCTTACCCACTACCTTATTACCTATATTAGAGTTCTCCAGAGAAATAGAACCAGTAGGAGATTTTATATACATACATACATACATACAAGGAGAGATGTATTTCAAGGAATTGAGGAATTGGCTCACATTATTGTGGGAGGGTAGCAACTCTGAAATCTGTAGGGGAGGCTGGCAGGCTGGAAACTCTTGGGCAGAGGTTGATGATACAGTCTTGAGGCAGAATTTCTGCTGACTCACCGTGTCTTAGTTCAGGCTGTTACAGCACAATACCAAAGGCCAGTGGATTATAAGCAACCGAAATTTTTCCTCCCAGTTCTAGAGACCACCACCAGGTGGTCAAGCCAAATCAAGCCACCAGGACTTAGTGTCTGGTGAAAGCCTGCCTTCTGGTTCACGGCCAACCAGCCTGTCTTCTTGCTGTGTCTTCACATGGCAGAAGGGGCAAGGGAGCTCTCTGGTATCTCTTTTACAAGAATACTAATCCCATTCATGAGGGCCCCATCCTCATGAACTCATCATCTTCCAGAGGCCCCACCTCCGCATACCATTACTTTGAGGATTAGGTTTCAACATAGGAACTTTGTGGAAGGGGGGACACAAACATTCAGTCTATAGCACAGAGAAAGCTCAGTTTTGTTTTCAAGGCCTTCTAACTGATTGAATAAGGCCCATACATAGCATTAAGAATAATTTTGTCTTATTTTTTTTTTTAAGATTTTATTTATTTATTTGACAGAGAGAGACACAGCGAGAGAGGGAACACAAGCAGGGGGAGTGGGAGAAGGAGAAGCAGGCTTCCCGCAGAGCAGGGAGCCCGATGTGGGGCTCGATCCCAGAACCCTGGGATCATGACCTGAGCCAAAGGCAGATGCTTAATGACTGAGCCACCCAGGCGCCCCTAATTTTGTCTTATTTAAAGACTATTCATTATAGATGTTAACTACAAAATGCCTTCACAGCAATACCTAGATTAGTGTTTGAAAAGTTGAAAACTATAGCTTAGTCACGTTGACCTGTAAAACTCTCACACTACCTTCACAATCTTTTCAGTTCACTCCAGCCATACCAGTCCCCTTGATGATCCTCAACCCACCAGACATGTTCCTATCTGAAGACTTTTGTACCTTACTGTTTCCTCTCCAGAATGCTCTTCTACAGACAGCCACATGGCTACCTCTATCTTCCCTTTAAGTCTTTTTCCTTAGGTCTTTTCAGAACTTCTCACTCCATATCTAAAATGGCAAACCTTCCTACACAGCCATGCCCTATAAGATTCCACTTCTCCCTCTGTCCTCTATTTTTCTCCTAATCCTTACTATTGTGAAGCATACTATATATTTTGCTTATTTATCTTCCTTATTGTCTACATTGCCCCTAGAGCAAAGCTTCTTAAGGGAAGTGATTTGTTTTTATATATTTTGTTCAATGCTGTATCCCCAATGCCTGGAATAGTCCCTAAGACAAAGGGTTTGATATGTATTTGTTAAATGAATGCCCATTTATTCTATTATTCCCTCTCCCAAATATCTCTTTGCCAACATGTTCATTCAGGCCACCACCATTTCTGGCCTGGGTTACTGAGCAGCCATCCAACTGGTCTCCCTCCATCTATTCTTCCCCTTCTTCCAATGCATTCTCCATCCTACAGCATTTCTAAATCTGATGATAGCAATCCCCTGCTCAAAACCTTTCACAAGTCCTCCTTGATGCTGAGACTCTGAGTGACTGAGCTTCTGATAAGTTCTCTACCTTCTCTCTGCTCCACACTCTGGAATCCAAGATGGACCTTCCTAGTCCTTGAAGTCATGATCTCTCACCTCCCAGTGCCTCTACACATGGTTTCCTATATCTAGAACATTCTTCACCTTGTGGCCAACCCCTGCTCGCCCTTTAGGTCCCATTTATGGCTCACCTTCCCCACCCCCCCCATCTTCAGATCTGGTGATGCTCACATAGCTCCTTATATTTAGGATCATCATTGCACTTTGCACCAGGTGAAGAGTAAAAGGGCAAGAGATTTCTATTCCCCCAAGGAAATGGGTAGCCAGAAAACAGAGGTAATCACTGTATAATACTTTGACAGTAAGATATGAAAGATGGGATAGCAAACAGGCGTGGGGTGGAAAAATATTTCACAGAATATTTTTACAATGGTAGAGAACAGAAAGGAGTTGAAAGCAAAAGAGACAGGTTCTGTAGGCAGGAAGAAGTTAGAATTAATAGGGAAAGAATAACTAGAGGAACGAGGAAAGAAATATTGAGAAGTAGATCAAGACCCTCTCTTTGCTACTATAAGGAAAGAAGTTGGATTGATATGCAGAGATGAAGCAAGGGGTTTCATAAACCAAAAATATGCTGAGACCTCTATAAGATGTGAACTTGGGGATTGTTTGGATAAAAACTAGGTTTCAGGGCACCTGGGTGGCTCAGTAAGTTAAGCATCTGCCTTCGGCTCAGGTCATGATCCCAGGGTCCTGGGATTGAGCCCCACATCGGGCTCCCTGCTCAGTGGGGAGCTTGCTTTTCTCTGTCCCTCTGCCCCTCACCCCTGCTTGTGCACTCTCTCTCTCTCTCAAATAAATAAATAAAATCTTAAAAAAACAAACAAACCTAGGTTTAGGAGCCTCAAGAAGTTTACAAGATATTTAAGACTACCTAACACTGCTTTATCAGTTTGGCAGTACACAGAACATTTGACGATGTACTAATGAACTCTCCAGAAAGGAGGGGAAAAGTATTTATTTGAAGAGATTATATTCCTCAACTTGTACTTGGCAGATTACTGTAGCTAGATTAAACAAACAGTGGGTTATAGTAATGTACATAAATCCTATAACTTTATCATTTCATGGTCTCCAAAGAGTGGTATTTCCTGATAACCAAGGTTTCTCTTGAGCATATTTTTCTTGTACTGTTATTTGTAAACACTATATTAGCTACTCAAAACTGAAATAACTGAAATTTTGTATCATTTCCCCTAAACTTGTGAATTCTGGTAAGGCCATGAAAATATACACAGAAAAATATACTCTGTCCCTGTGTATTTGACTAATTTAGGTCATTTAAGTGGAGTCATGCAATATTTGTCCTTTTGTGGCCCTAATTTCACCTAGCATAATGTTTGTACGGTTCATGCATGTTGTAGCATGTATCAGAATTGCATACATTTAAAAAAAGGAATAATATGGCCTTGTATGTATATATTACATTTTGTGTATCCATTCATCTGTTCATGGACACTTGAGTTGTTTCTACTTTGGAGGTGTTGGAAGTCGCACCACTTTTATTAGCCCTTTGGCTAAGATCAAGTGGAAATCGCATCACTTTTAAGTGGAGACTTGGCTCCTGATCTAATGCTAATTCCCATAGTATCACAGAGGGAATTGCTTGCTTTATATAACCTTGAATCTCCTCCAAACTTATGAGGTTTTCAGGGAAATGGGCATCTCCTGTAAAATAATTAGTTCACTGAAATATTGATGCTGAGCTTTCATGAATAAATGAATCACACTAAGGTTGGTTGGTCCATACTTTAAGTCTCCTGAAGATAGTATCTCTTTCTCCTTTTCCTTCAATTAAACACACACACACACACACACACACAGTGGTTTACAGGGAGATACCAAGAGACTACCAAAAGCTGATGCACTCTCTTTAGAATTATTTCTAAAGGTGAAACTTCACTGTGCAACACAGCACAGAACTGCTTCTCGGTAAGGAAGTCCACAGAGCACTTTCTCCAGGATTCCATTGTCCCTGTGCCAAGCTTTGGGTAGCAATTGCATCACTTCCAAACTCAGGTGTTTCCAACCTACTAGAACACGTGGACAAAGCCTGCGGCAAATCTGGCTTCTGCCAGTCCCATCCACACTTGGAGCGCAGCTCTTTCCGGGATCTCTGTGCAGAGGGTGCCTGGCATTAGACAAGGACTGAGCCAGAGAAGAATACAGAGCAGAGCCATGAATATCATCTTCGGTCTCCTCCTGCTTCTGTTCACCATCATCTACTCCTACTTGGAGGCACTGGTGAAGGTTTTCTTTCCCCGAAGGAGAAAATCTGTGGCGGGGGAGGTTGTTCTCATTACAGGAGCCGGGCATGGAATAGGCAGGTGGACTGCCTATGAATTTGCAAAACGGAAGAGCCGACTGGTTCTGTGGGATATTAATAAGGTAATGCATTCACTTGCCCATCTTTTAAAGTCACAAGTAAGACATGTTGTAAAAATTATTTGACTTAGCAGCTGCTTACCTTTGTATTTTTCTTTTTCAATGTTTCATAAACTCTCCAGTGCCATATTTTACATATGCATTGGGATGGTTTGACAAAGGGAACATAACTGAGAACTAAGCAGTGATTTTTTTTTTTTTTTTATGCCATCATATGCAGGTTGAGAACACAGACTCGGAGCCAGGCTACTTCCAAGCTTCCCGTTTCCTTATCTTTTTGAAAAAATATTTTATTTATTTTTTAGCAAGAGAGAGCACTAAGTGGGGGGGAAGGGTGGGGAGAGGGAGAAGCAGGCTCCGCGCTGAGCAAGGAGCTCAGTGCGGGACTCGATCCCAGGACCCTGGGACCATGACCTGAGCCAAAGGCAGGTACTTAACCGACTGAGCTACCCAGGCGCCCACTGTTTCCTTATCTTTGAAATGGAAATAATACCTCACAGAATGGGCAAGAACAGGGGTCAGCAAACTACAGCTACGGGGCCAAACCTGGTCCTTGGGCAGGGTGCTGAGCGAGGAATGTTTTTTATATTGTTAAAAGCATGTCAAAGCAAAACCAGATAAAAAACCAAAAAGAACATAAGACAGAACTTCTTAGTGCCTCCCCTCACATCCACACAATCCTAAAATATTTACTCTCTGGCAATTTACAGAATAGTTTGTGGACTCCTGGGCAAGAGGATTAAACAAGTGAATATTTTAAGTGCTTAGAACAATGCCTGGCCATAGTAAACATTAGTCATGTTAAATAAAACCCACAAGCAGTGGGTCAGGCTTTCTCTTGAGCATTCATATTTTTCTTGTACTGTTATTTATAAACACTATATTAGCTACTCAAAACTGAAATAACTGAAATTTTGTATCATTTCCCCTAAACTTGTGAATTCTGGTAAGGCCATGAAAATATACACAGAAAAATGTTACAGGATTTTAAGATTGGAAAAACTGTAAAGTTTTAGGAATCAGGTTTTCCACAAATCACAGTGAGATCTTAATTGCCATTATATTACTACTCTCTGATGTTCTTTGCTATCACATCCAGTTGGCCCCTATTTCTTAAAGCCTTCAAAAACGTCATTTGGGGGCACCTGGCTGGCTCAGTTGGTGGACCATGTGACTCTTGATCTTGGGGTTATAAATCCGAGCCCCACATTGAGTGTAGAGATTACTTAAAAGTAAAATCTTTAAAAAGAAATGTCACCTGAACTTAGAAAAGTAGTTCTTCTCTGGTTCTTTCCAGACAGTAAAGAATACTATACAAGGAAAAGTTGATACATTTCCATGTAACAGACACAGGCATTTAATAGATGAGTTGATATACATGAAAGTGATTTGGCATCGGCTTGGTCCTTGAAGAGATTCCAAAGCATTTTTTAGAAGAGGACAAGAATTTACCAATTGAGACAACTGTTGTCTGCTGTTCTCAAGCATTCATCAAAAAGATAGAAATAAGTATAGATCCATGAAAAAGACTTGATAAAATCTAACCTTTGGATCTTTCCAGATGTGTGTTTTTGGGGAGAGGATTATACTTACTACATTTTTTAAAGTTCCAGTGACAAGGAATAAAAATGACTTATTTAAGATTATGCCTGAAGGATAAGTCACCTAACTTCACAGGATTTCTTTGAATCCTTGGATTTTATGGTTAAACATTAAAGGTATTAAATGATTCACTCTAAGGCTGCAAATATAGCTCAGATCTCCTTTACCTGTGGAAGGTGCCAACTCCCTTTTTGTTAAGGCTGGCTTCTTTTGCCTTACCTAAGGAATCATGCTAGTGGTTTGCCCTCACTCAATCTAAACTGTTGCTTTAGGAAAACTGAAAAGTGGAGTAAACAATGCAAGCCGGAGTTGAAGCTAAAGCAACTATTTTGCTTACAAAAAGACAAGGCATTACATTTTGCAGTTCTGTAGCTCGGTTATAAGACTGACACATTTTTGATTCTTCAAAGCCTCTGACAAAAGCTCTGGTTACTAATGCTCTCTACTGACCATGAATCGAGAGACAAAAGAATGCATGGTGGGTCTTGTAATCTGACAATGAGCAAGCTACCAGGTGAAGCCTAAATTGGTGAAAGAGCTCCTGTCCTCCCTCCACACTCTTCTGCAAGCCCCAAAAGGCTATGAGGGGACACTGACTCTGTGACTACATGTCCTAATTTCTGTTCGTGTCTATTCTTTGGGATTTCAGGCTTCTGCTCCGGGGCTTAGCCTGAGGTAGTGGGATATGGAGGACACAAGGGAGGTGGTGTGCTGGCTAAGGGAACCCCCCTGCCACTCATTCAGGGATTGTCCCAAGCAACAGCCACACAACTAACATCCCAGTGTTAGAAAAGGGCTTGCAGCTGTCCTTGCCTCTTTATCACAGAGAAGAGTCTATAAATTGTGAGAGGAAAAAGTGGAATTTTATTGAGATAAATCCACAGAGGTCAAAAAAAATTAACAGAGGTCAAAACTTGAAAAGAATTCTCATTTTCCAGAAATGCAGGTCAAGAAACATCAGGACGATTTTACCTTAGGAAAAAAGGTCTTTGAATTTAGGCTGAAAAGTTTCTCCATCGCCATGTCCTGGAGTTGTTACAAAGTTACTATAGTTATTATTATACTTGCGAAATAGTTACATAGATAAGACTCTATCCAGTGGCCCTTCCCCATTTTACTCCAGAACACTTGCACACAAGATTATATCCCCAAGAGTAGTTTGTCTCCCTATGAAAGTCTTCCTCAAATAAGGATCCCTCTTTCACCTTCCCTCCTAGAGGGTTAAATTAGAATCATCGAGAAACCTATGACAGGCAGAGGCAAAGAGTTTAAAATTACCACTCGTTTAGAGTTGCTTTACTACCTATTATATGGTTGGTGCTCAACAAATATACGTTAAATGAAAAACTGAGTTTTCTCTCCTTTGTCCTCAAACATTTCCATGACCCCACAAAGAGCAACATCTTTCAAGCACGTTCTAGCTGTGAGAGCAGCCTGCTTTAGAAAAACTGCCTCCTGGAGAACCCTCTCACCCAAGATAAAAAGCTAGAGAAACATGAAGGACTTTTTGTTTGTTTGTTTCCGCTTTGACTCAGAATGGCTGTTGAGAATGAAGCCAAACAAGGTGAAGACACGTGACCGGTAGGCGCCCTCACTGGCAGAAAAGCCAGGTAAAAGCCCTTGGCCCGTTACGCAAGCAGCGCCTCTCGTGAAACTTCGTACAAGCAAGGAGGGCACTTTGGACATGAATTTTAATCTTTAAAGAAACTTCTCCAGTTCTTTCTCTCCCACTCTTGTCCCCTAACTGACCTACCTCCTTTTGCATTTGTCTTTCCCAATTACAGCGCGGTGTTGAGGAAACGGCCGCCGAATGCAGGAACCTGGGGGCCACTGCGCACGCCTATGTGGTGGACTGCGGTAACCGAGAAGACATTTACAACTCTGTAAAGCAGGTGAGACTTCAGAATACAAATTTCTTCAGATAATTTTGTATCCATTGACATAGAAAATGTAAAGGTTCTTTTTGGCTGCCTGATTTGGATTGGAACTGAGGAAGTTGTATGAAGAAGGAAGGGCATTTATTTTTTCCCTGCATAGAATCCACTCAACTCTGCCTATTCTTACTGTTTCATGTTATCGGTCAATTTCTTTCTGATCAGAAGTTTGAGCAGTGGTACGGAGTGACAGAGAAGAGATTTAGTCCCAGGAGAAAGGATCACTTTCTAGTTTCAATTTAGTCCTATTACTTTTGCAGTAATGCCTTTTTTATCTGTAATTTTTTTTCCCTAGGGGATTTTATTTATGTTGCTGCTAATCTAGTCTTCTACAGAAAATGAATTGTTAATAGTTATTATAACAGTTTTTAGAAGAGTAGATATCAAATACAGTGAACCAAGCACTCTGATAAACGACTGCATCCTTGGATCTCTACAATAACCCTATTGACCTCATTTGCCAGATAAGCAAACGGAGGTTGAGAGGGCTTAGCCAGTCCATGGTCACATGGCTGGTAGGTGGTAGAACGAAGATGACTCAGCACTAAGAACATATTTGGTCAGGACTGATAATATCAATTAATCGACACAAATATTAATTTCACTTTATAGACAAGTTTTTTTCCTGCCTGAACTCTGAGAGCTCTCATCAAGTGGATTAAAGAATCTAATCCCTGGGTGACATAAGCCCCAAAACTTTGAGTTTCTTTTCTTTTTTTTTCCCCCAAAACTTTGAGTTTCTATAACACATCCAGTGAATGTGTTTTTTTTCCATTTCAAAGGTAAAGAAAGAAGTGGGAGATGTAACCATCCTGGTGAATAATGCTGGGACAATATATCCAGCTGACCTTCTTAGTACCAAGGATGATGAGATTACCAAAACTTTTGAGGTCAACATCCTAGGACACTTTTGGGTGAGTGTGAGAAACATTTCTGGTTTGTGCATATCTCACACCTCCCCCTAAGGTACATGAAGTTTGTAGTTAAGTTCACACCTTTATATTTGCCTTAAATCAAGAATCACCAAATTAATTTGAGTGGGGGAGTCTCTGAGAGAAGGGCACAGAGTTTGAAAGGACACAACTCACCAGAATGTAGGCTCGTTGGTCTCTCTTATCCAGGAATCTAACACAAAACATGGCCTGGATGGACCAAGTGCTCAATATATTTGTGGAGCTATGCTAAGGGTATCAGTGTACATCTTTTCAGGGCTTTAGAGGAAATATATACAATATACATTCACTTGTGACCTCATACCATGGAATTTTAGAACTGAAAGGACAACATAAATCACTACTTGAATGTATATCGGGGTTAGGAACTTTTCTGCATGGGACTCAGATAAGCTCTAGGTCCATGCCTGAACTTAGATATATGGCTCTACAGACCTCTTATAATTGGTTATCAGAAAACTGAAATATGACTCTGTAGAAAGCATTTATATGGATTAATCTTCCAGTGCCTCAATATTAGGTATAGAACCTAGAGCAAATCCGACTCTGGAAGAGAAGAAAAAGATATGTGTCCCCCCGCACCTGCCCCAACCACTCACACATGCTAATGAGGATTGATTATTATGCCCAGCAAACTACATAGAGACCTCATGTGTTGGTTATCTATAGCTGCATAACAAATTATATCAAAATTTAGTGGCTGAAAGCAACAATAAGTGTTTGTTTTCCTTTCAGAGTTTCTGTGGATCAGAAATTTAGGAGTGGCTTAGTTTGGCAGTTCTGGCTCTGTGGATTTGTATAGGGTCCATAGGGTGTGTTCATAAAATTCTCATAAAATATTGATATTTCTCTCAAAACAGTGAAAGCTTTTTGGAGATAAAGAATGACTTTTTGTTTCCTGTAACATCAATATATAATACACAATGTTACAAATAGGGAGATACTAAATCTAATCATGATGGATAATGATTGTGGATCAGGATAAAACCCAGCTTTTCCTACTTACCTTGATATAGTTACACAAGATTTCAATTCTTCTCATTAGAATGATAAAGCCCCAAACCAAAAAAAATTACATGATACCAGATTACCATAGGGGATCTTTTCGGTTCTGAAAACACTGAATTTTTCCCTTGATATTATTGCGATGATATATCCATAAAGGAGATATTTGATTCCTTCTGAAGGGAAGATGGGGGAATTTTTTTTTAAGATTTAATTATTGGGGCACCTGTGTGGCTCAGTTGATTAAGTGTCTGCCTTTGGCTCAGGTCATGATCCTAAGGTCCCAGGATTGAGCCCCGCATCGAGCTCCCTGCTCAGCAGGGAGTCTGCTTCTCCCTCTGTCCCTCACCCTGCTCATGCTCTCTCTCTCAAATAAATAAATAAAACCTTAAAAAAAAAGATTTTTAAATTAAGTAACTTATTTAGAGAGAGGGAGAGAGAGAGCACATGAGTAGGGGGAGAGGGAGAGAAAGAATCGCAAGCAGACTCTGCACCAAGCGCGGAACCCAACATGGGGCTCAATCTCATGACCCTGAGATCATGACCTGAGCCAAAATCAAGAGTCAGACCCTGAACTGACCGAGCCACCCAGGCGCCCCAGGAAGGAAGGGGAAATATTAAGATGAGTTCTTAGCATATGATACTTAGTACACAGCCCTCAATGCCACCTTAAACAAATACATTTCAATCTTTTTCATTTCTGTCATTTATATGGAAGTAATCATGGAATATTGACACGTTTCATTTCATCTTAGAAGTCTCAAATGCTATTTTTTCTTAAAAAGAGAACTACCTAATTTAGAAACCTAACACCTGTGCCGTTTTTTTTTTCTTTCTGCAATGATCTTTAAGATCACAAAAGCACTTCTTCCATCCATGATGAAGAGAAATCATGGCCACATTGTCACAGTGGCTTCAGTGTGTGGCCATGGAGTGATTCCTTATCTTATTCCATATTGGTAAGTATTATTTTCCAGCAATGATATAACTATATATTCTTTCAAGGGTTTATTAGACCTTAGATTCCAATCCTCGTGGCAGGGTTATTTACAGAATTTACATAGTAGTCTAGAATAAACTTTTACAAAATGACTTCTCCTAAAACAATGAAACTGGTTGTAATTGTTAAAATATTTTTAGATTTCTGAAAGCTCCTCTATAGAGCAATGAAATGTAATGCCAAGTATGTTTCCATCGTATCCTGGAATGAGTACATGTTGATAAAAGAAACAGGGAACCACAGACTAAGAAGTAAAACAGACAGAAGTCCAAATGAACATAAACGTGTGCATCACCTGCATACCCAAGATTAGCTAACCAGAGTGAGCCCTGCCCCAAAACATTTTCCACTGTGCTCATGCCATGAAAGATGGTGTGTGTTGAGAGAGAGAGATTGAGAGAAAGCCTCTAGCTGATTAAAAGATATAGAGAGTACACTCCATGATCTACCAAGGACACAAAGAGAAAAGGTTGGGAGCCCTGAGGATACACTATTTGCAAAATCTCTTTTCCTTGTAAACTCCTTCAATGGCATCTCATTTGCTTACTTCAGCTTCATATCAACCTCATAGAAAATTTAACTTGGTAACATTTGGTCAGTTCTTTTTTTATTTTTTTTTAAAGATTTTATTTATTTATTTGACAGAGAGAGACACAGCGAGAGAGAGAACACAAGCGGGGGGGTGGGAGAAGGAGAAGCAGGCTTCCCGCTGAGCAGGGAGCCCGATGCGGGGCTCAATCCCAGGACCCTGGGATCATGACCTGAGCCGAAGGCAGACGCTTAACGACTGAGCCACCCAGGTGCCCCTCATTTGGTCCAGTTCTTTTTGTAACAGCCAACACATGAGTATCAGTGGAAAGGTGTGGGTAATTAATAGATTTATTATGTACTTATACATCATATTCAAGGTTAAACTGAGTCATGGACAAAATTACTTCTGACGCTGAATGTGGTCACTCTAGTTCAATTTCAGCGTCAGTTAGGGGTCATTGCACACACATGGTTGTTTCAAACGGCCTCTACCATCTTAAAACACAAGTAAGAATGTCACAGATTAAACATTTGCTATTGTTTTAATGTCTAGAAATGTGGAAACCCAATGTAATACTTTTCCTTTTTTGCTTCTCCCTTAAGAAAGCAGCTGGCCTTTAATTTCACTGTTTTTATTGTCACCTGGGTCAAAAATACAATGAACATTTATATAGATTCTTATAGGTAATGAAGTTATAAGGCATATGCTATACAATTTAATTCTCAAAACAGCCCTATATTTTATAACCTGCATTTAAAAGTGAGAAAATCAGGGCGCCTGGGTGGCTCAGTTGGTTAAGCGACTGCCTTCGGCTCAGGTCATGATCCTGGAGTCCCGGGATCGAGTCCTGCATCGGGCTCCCTGCTCAGCAGGGAGTCTGCTTCTCCCTCTGACCCTCCTCCCTCTCATGCTCTCTGTCTCTCATTCTCTCTCTCTCAAATAAAATAAATAAAAATCTTAAAAATAAATAAATAAAATAAAATAAAAGTGAGAAAATCAAAGAAGATAAAGTGATATGCTAAAGGCACACCCATACCACCTAAAGTCTTTTTACTCCAGATTTTGACAATGAAATTAAGAAGTCAAAGCGGCCTCCAGGATAAAGAGAGAAACTAGGAACTCACTTAACAAGAAAGAGAGGAGAAATGTGGAGAGTCCCGCAGAAGTTTCAGTGTAGATACTATTACATAGTTTTTCTACATATGTTTTACCTGTTTCATATTTTTTAAAATAAAAATAGCAATTAAAACTAATTAGAAAACAGTTTGAAGATTGAATGGAAAACCTTACACTAGGGTGGAAAAGCGAGCAGTAAGGCAGTTAATATATTACTAGGATTCGTTCTATTGCTATCATTGCTAAGTAAGAAATCGGTACGTTCAGAATTCTGTAAAATCATGTAAGAAAATGTAAATGAAAATCGATGACCAAGTGGAAGATTTGGGACGTTGGCTTCTACTTGTTCTCAAACCAAGTCAGCATTGCCTTCTTACAGAAATCTAGCAATGATGGTGGGTAATTCTCTTACAGTTCCAGCAAATTTGCTGCTGTCGGCTTCCACAGAGCTCTGACATTAGAACTTGAAACCTTGGGGAAAACTGGAATCAAAACTTCGTGTCTCTGCCCAGTTTTTGTAAATACTGGGTTCACCAAAAACCCAAGCACAAGGTGAGGTCAAAGTCAAGTTAGGATGAAAATATGGCATGAGAAATTGATATGAAATCTGTACAAGAAATTTTTAGGTGGATCAACTGAGAAAATAGGAAAAAGAATGAAAAAGGAAAAATGTTTCGTCTTAATGTTGTGCTGCCTTTAAATTTTCACTTTGAAATTAGACGAACAAAGGGGGAAAATGCATTGATGACTGGCAGGAGTGACCAACTGCCAACAAGTTAGGCAATTGGGTGTTTATTTTTGTCCAGGTGAAAGGTTCAACACACTCGGGTGCCAAGAGGGAATGAGAGGGGGTGGGACAGGCTGGAGAGGTGTGCTCAGGGATGTCAAGAGTGTCCTCTCTTAGAAACCCCACTCCAAAAATGAATGTTACATAACATCCCCCTCGCCCATTCATGGTTCATTCTCCTCAGAGTATGGAAAGGTACAAATATATGCCCCTTTTCCATCTTCCACGGTACTAGCAGGAAGTACTCCAACATTTTTCAAACTTGTCTGGTCCTAAGAATCATCACCTGTGATTCCATAGAAAATAAACACTCTATGGGTCTTCCTTAGAGATTAGACTGAGATGAGCTCCAAGAATTAGATGTTTTGTTTTGCTTTGCTTTGCTTTGCAAGCATACCTGCCAGGTAAGTCTGGAGACAGGTTTGGAAAACATTGATGTATTAAATATAATCCCAGCATTTGATGACCGTTACCTCCTTGTCCTCCGTAAATATGTAGATGCTTTTAGGAGCAGCAATAAGTTGAGCCCCTAACCCTTTAATCAAGAGGAATTTCTATGAGAACTTTGTCTCTGGTAAGGGAGGATTTGAAACCATAAGAGAGGGGCTCCGGGGTGGCTCAGTTGGTTAAGCAACTGCCTTCGGCGCAGATCATGATCCTGGAGTCCCGGGATCGAGTCCCGCATCGGGCTCTCTGCTTGGCGGGGAGTCTGCTTCTCCCTCTGACCCTCCCCCCTCTCATGCTCTCTCTCTCTCTCTCATTCTCTCTCTCAAATAAATAAATAAAATCTTTAAAAAAAAGAATTAAAAAAAAATAGAAACCATAAGAGAGGAGAAATTGGTCCTGAAAGGAGAGGAAAAAAGCAGAGAGGTGAGGAGATGGGCCCTAAAATTCAGACACCTTCACAAATTTGCCTCAATTCTGGTATATATTCTGCTGCAGGTTAACAAAATACACTAAGCTTGCTCATCTGAAGCCAATTTATTACTAAAGGGGAATTAGTCCAAATATATTCATTCAAAAGAGCTAACAAATTCTCCTTTAAACTTAGCCTCATTTGAAGCTACTGACTCTGAACTCTAAATTAGCTGTGTGGTCTCTGGAGCTGTGGTCACTCCCTGGCAGTGGAGTTTTTAATAGTGCTAGATCATAGGCACTTAACAAGTACACAATATTTAAGTAAATACTGTGGTATGACTGGGACTCTGGATTCAGTTTTCTTAAACAGCAAATTGGGCCTAATAAAACCTTCTTGGTAAGCATTCAGGCTTAGTATGGGCCAAGCGTACCAGGTCCACTGGGTGGGGAAGACACAAGAGATGAGAAGAGTAAGTCTAGTGTGATCCCAGGTAATGTGGATGCCTGGGGGTGACTCTAGGGGCTGACAGGCAAAGCTGAAGATTGACCCAGACTGCTGGATTCTGAATCCCGTTGGCAAAGGCTAAAATATTCATATACTAATGTTAGGCTTGGCTCAGATACTGGGTTGAAGAAACCAGGTAGGAAAAATCAGGGAGGGAAAAGGCAGAACCCAATAATTTAGAAAGGTATTGATTTATATTACTCTCTGCTGGTTTGCTACTCAATGCCATGAAAACCTAAATCACAAAATAATCTGTAGTAAATCACAGAACATGTCAGGGAAGGAAGTTATAACTTAACTCTTCTATGCAACCTTTTTCCATTCAACCCGTGCCCAGACTTCTTAGTTTTGATGTAACATTTTCAATCCATTTACATTTTAATTTCTTCTCATCATCTTGCACTAGTGGTAATTCTACACTGAGCCTGTGGTTATAAATGCTTCTCAAGAACTCACATACAATGCAGGATCTAGTTACAATGTAGCTGTAAAGTGCTGCCTTGTCTTTGCCCCCTGCTCAAACTAAAGCTGTTACCTTTCTAGCCCTGTCCGCCATGGTGCTTAGCAGCCAGGGATGCATGGTCTCAGACATGTTTACCAAGTAAAACACTGACTTGAGGGGCACCTGGGTGGCTCAGTCATTAAGCATCTGCCTTCGGCTCAGGTCATGATCCCAGGGTCCTGGGATCGAGCCCCACATCGGGCTCCCTGCTCAGCGGGGAGTCTACTTCTCCCTCTCCCACTCCCCCTGCTTGTATTCCCTCTCTCGCTGTGTCTCTCTCTGTCAAATAAATAAATAAAATCTTTAAAATAAATAAATAAATAAATAAATAAATAAATAAATAAATAAAAAAGAACTCACATACACAGTCTTCGGTATATGCAAGGTCACGCCTCTGGAATGCAATACTCCCTGTGCATATCTTGAACTCTCATTAAATTGTAGCATAGGCAATTCAGAGATGGACCTCAAGAATTAAATGCCTTCAAAACAATCCAGCTTTGGGACACTTGGGTGGCTCAGTCGTTAAGCATCGGCCTTCAGTTCAGGTCATGATCCCAGGGTCCTGGGATCAAGCCCCGAGTCGGGCTTCCTGCTCAGCAGGGAGCCTACTTCTCCCTCTGCCTGCTCAGCCTGCTGCTCCCCCTGCTTGTGCATGCTTGCTCTCTCTCTCTGACAAATGAATAAAATCTTCAAAAACAACAACAACAACAATCCAGCTTTATGGGATAACTCCAGAAGAAAGAAAGTATGCTTGGCAATAGCTTTGTATCCCACAAGCCCTGACGAAAGATGTCAGATGTTCCCTTTCTGTCCATGAATAATCCCACCTGCTACTCTTCTTGCCTGGAGCCTCTTCACCTATATCTCCAATTCCTCTCCACCCTTTTGATATATTTTTTATTTTTTTAAACTTTATTTAAAGATTTTATTTATTTATTTGACAGAGAGAGACACAGTGAGAGAGGGAACACAAGCAGGGGGAGTGGGAGAGGGAGAAGCAGACTTCCTGCAGAGCAGGGAGCCCGATGCGGGGCTCGATCCCAGAACCCTGGGATCATGACCTGAGCCAAAGGCAGATGCTTAATGACTGAGCTACCCAGGCGCCCCGATATATTTTTTAAAGATTTATTTATTTATTTATTTTAGAGAGAAAGCACGAACAGGAGGAGGGCAGAGGGAGAGAGAATCCTCAAATAGGCTCCCCAGGGAACCTGTCTTGGGGCTTCATCCCAGGACCCTGAGATCATGACCTGAGCAGAAATCAAGAGTCAGATGCTTAACCAACTGAGCCAGCCAGGCACCCTTTCACCCTTTTGATATTTTAACTGAGTGAGCCATAAAACATGCCCACTGGATGTGAAAGTTTAAGATTGTGATAACAAAACATCCCCATGGAATGTGTGGGGTGGGGGGAGCAGGTGACATTTGTTCAGTGAATCCTGGAACCTTTTAAATCCTAATTTGGTGACAGGATAAGGTAATTTTCCTGCCTTTGATAATTAAAACACCAACAACAATAAGAACCAAACTTTTTTCTTCTTAATCACAGACTATGGCCTCTTTTGGAGACAGATGCAGTTGCAAGAAGCTTGATAGATGGAATACTTACCAATAAGAAGATGATTTTTGTTCCATCATATTTCAATATCTATATAATACTAGACAAGTAAGTACAGCACAAAACATCTAAAATGCTAAAACAGCAGTAGAGCTTTCATTATAATGAAGAGTCTTTCAGCTGTGAAAGTTGCTGTGGAACCCCCACCCCCCCGCCCACCCCGTGCCTGGGGAGAACAGTTACGTTTTCTCTGTTACTGTGTTTTTCAGTCTATAAAAAAAAGAATGATTCATTTTCTCTACCACATCTACCATCTCAGTTTAATCTTTGCTAGAGACCATTCCAACTGAAGGAAAGGCAGTTTAAAGAGAACACGATGTAATTAAAAATAAAGGGTCTATTTAAAAGCCTGCTGGAGGGGCACCTGGGTGGCTCAGTTGGTTAAGCGACTGCTTTCGGCTCAGGTCATGATCCTGGAGTCCCGGGATCGAGTCCTGCATCGGGCTCCCTGCTTGGCGGGGAGTCTGCTTCTCCCTCTGACCCTCCTCCCTCTCATGCTCTCTGTCTCTCATTCTCTCTCTCTCAAATAAATAAATAAAATCTTTAAAAAAATCAAATAAATAAAATAAAAGCCTGCTGGAATTTTGATGGAAATTGCATTGAATCTATTGATCAACTGGGGGAGAATTGACATTAACAACATTGAGTCTTCCAACCCAAGAAAACAAAGAACATAAAATACCTTTCCTTTTTTTTCTCTTCTTTAATATCTCTACACAACATTTTATAGTTTTCAGCATACAGTCTTATACACCTTTTATCAAATGTATCCCCAAGTATTTCATGGTTTTGATGCTGTTGCAAATGGCATTCAGAAAATGTTTTCTATTTCCCATTGTTTGTTACTAGTATGTGTTTGATTTTTGCATTTTGATCTTGTATTTAGCACCCTTGCTAAATTCATTTCTAGTAGTTTTTTGTAGATTCTAACAGATTTTTTTATAGATTATTTCAGATGATCATATTGTCTGCAAATAAAGACACTTTTACTTCTTTTTTTCCAATCTGTATGTTTTTTTTTTTTTTTCCTTACCTTATTGCACTGGCTAGAACTTTCCATGCAATGTTAGATAGGATTGGTGAAAGCATACATCCAAGTATTCCTCTTAAGCTTAAGAGAAGAGTATTAAATATTTCACAATTAAGTATAATGTTAGCTGTAGATGTTTTTTCATAGATGCTTTTTATCATGTTGAGGAAGTTCCCTTCTATTACTATTTTGATGAGAGATTTATCAAATGCTTTTACTAACTGTGTTAAGAAAATCATATTTTTTTTCCATTTTCACTTCCATTTGTTGATATGATGTATTATCCTGATTAATTTGATTAATTTTATTTATTTTTTTAAGATTTTATTTATTTATTTGACAGAGAGAGCTATAGCGAGAGAGGGAACACAAGCAGGGGGAGTGGTTGAGGGAGAAGCAGGCTTCCTGCCAAGCAGGGAGCCCGATGCGGGGCTTGATCCCAGGACCCTGGGATTATGACCTGAGCTGAAGGCAGACGCTTAATGACTGAGCCACCCAGGCACCACTATACTGATTAATTTTAAAGAATAAGCTACCCCTGCATTGTAATGTCTTTGTCTGATTTTCATAGAATAAGTTGGAAAGTATGCCCTCCTCTTTTCCAGAAGAGCTTGTGTGGGATTGGCATTTTTTCTTTAAACATTTGGTAGAATTCACCAGTGAAGCCATCTGGGCCTGTTGTTTTCTTTATAGACAAGTTTTAACTAAAAATCTAGTTTCTTTAAAACCTATAGGGCTATTCAGGCTACTTATTTGTTCTTGGTAATGTGTGTCCTTCAGGGAATGTGTCCATTTCATCTAAATTGTCAAATTTATTGGCATAAATTTATTCATAATCTTCCCTTATTGTACTTGTAATATCTTTAGGATATCTCATTCCTGGTAGTGGCAATTTGTATTTTTTGATTTTTTACTCTCTTCAGTCTATCTAGAGGTTTATCAGTTGATTGATTTTTTTCCAAAGAACTAGCATTTGGTTTATTTTATTTTTCACGTATTTTTTTTATTTTTCATGTGTTCTACTTCACTAATTTCTTTCCTGATCTTTATTATTTATTTTATTGTGACTATTTTTTATTTAATTTTCCCTTCTTTTTCTAGTTTGTTAATGTGGAAACTGAGTCCATTGATTTTTTTTTCTAGCATAGGCACTTAATACTATAAAATTTCCCTGTGTACTGTTTTCAGTTCTGTCTCTCAAATTCTAACATGTTATGTTTTCATTTCTATTCTGTTCAAAATACTTCCTAATTTCCCTTTTGTATCCTGGGTTACTTAGAAATGCATTTTTTAATTTCTAGCTTTTTGGAGATTTTCGGGAGATTTTTCTGTTTTCTAATTTAATTACTTCATATGACTTTAATATTTTAAATTTATTGAGACATGTTTAAGCTTGGAATATGTTTATCTTGATAAGTGTTCCATATGCACCCAAAAAGAATGAGAAGAGTATTCTGTATTGTTGAGTGTTCTGTAAATGTCAGCTTAGGTCAAATTGGTTGATAGTGTTGTCAAATCTTCTGTGTTTTTACTGATTTTCTGACTATTTGTTTTATCAGTTATTGAAAGGAGTCTCAAAATCTCTAGCTATAATTGTGAATTTGTCTATTTTCTTTACTTTTCTTTCCATTTTTGCTTCACATATTTTGAAGCCCTGTTATTATGTGCATAGCAATTAGGATTATTGTGTCCTCTAGATGAATTAACTACTCTGTCGTGTTGGAAATAACCTTGTTTATCCCTGGAAACATACTTCGCTGTAAAATATACTGATATTAATATAGCCACTTCAGCTTCTTTAGATTAATGTTATCTTAGTATATCCTATTCTGTTCTTTTACTCTGAACCTGTTTCCTTATATTTGAAATGTGTTTTTGTAGGTAGTATATAGCTTGTTCTTTTTTTTTTAAATCCAATTTTATAAAACCCCTTTTAATTGGGGGTTTTTAGACTCTTTACATTTATTTATTTATTTATTTATTTAGATTTCATTTATTTATTTATTTGACAGAGAGATAGAGCCAGAGAGCACAAGCAGAGGGAGAGGGAGAAGCAGGCTCTGCACTGAACAGGGAGTCCAATGCGGGACTCGATCCCAGGACCCTGGGATCATGACCTGAGCTGAAGGCAGATGCTTAATCATCTGAGCCACCCAGGCACCCCTAGGCTCTTTACATTTAATATGATTGTTGACATAGTTAAATTTAAAGCTAAGTTTAAAGCTTGTTATTTGTTTTCTATTTGTTCCATTTATTTTTGGTTCCTTTTTTCTCTTTTTCTGCCTCCTTTTGGTTTAATTGAATATTTTCATGTTTCCATTTTATTTCCTTTTTTGGATTACTAGCTATAATTCTCTGTTTTGTTACTTTAGTTATTGCTTTAGGATTCATAGTATGTGTCTTTAACTTACCATAGTCAACCTTCAAATGATATTATACCACTTCATGTATAGTCTAAGAACCTTACAATGATATACTTCTATCTCTCCCCTCTGATTTACACTATGATTGTCATACATTTTACTTCTACATATGTTAAAAAAAAAAAACACACATTACAGTTTTTGTTTGTTTGCTTAAACAGCGAATACTTTTTTAAAGATCTTTAAATAACGAGGTAAATTCTTAAGTGCTTACGCATGTGGTTAACATTTCTGGTGCTTTTTATTCATTTGTGTAGATCCAGACTTCTGTGTGGTATCATTTTCCCTCTGCCTGAAGAGTATCCTTTAACATTTTCTCAGAGAAGTTCTGCTGGTTGTGAATTCTTTCGCCTCGTGGATGTTTAACAAATTCTTTATTTTGCCCTAAGCTTTGAAAGATATGTTCACTGGATATAGAACTCTAGGTTGATAGTTTTTTGTTTTTCAGTACTTATATGATATTCTCTGCCACCTCTATGATTTCCATATCATCTCTGCTGGAGGCTGTTCTAACTGAAGCAAAGATTGTTTTTAAAGAAACACGATATGATAAAGTGATTAAGGATGAAGGCTCCACCTAAGATGAAAAACCACTTTACCACTTAGTAGTTCTTTAACCATGGATGAGTTATTTAACCTCTGTGGCCTCAGATTTTCCATATATAAAATGGAGGTGGTGCTAATACCTCCTTTCTAAGCTTACCATAAAAATAAGATAATGCAAGTAAGGCCCCTGCCATTAAAAAAGCACAGAAGTCAGATATTAAAGATTTAGGAAACAGAACTTACATTGAATTCTAGGAAAAAGAGCATCTGGCTGGCTCAGTCTGTAGAGCATGCAACTCTTGATCTCGAGGTTGTGAATTCAAGCCCCATGCAGGGTGTAGAGATTATTTAAAAATAAAAAAAAAATTTTTTTTAAATGCTAAGGAGATAGGATTATTTACCCGGAGGACATAATCTCAGCTTTCTTCTGAGGGACAGTTTATGATAGATTAAAATTGTATCAATGAGAAGATAACTATAATAACTTCACAAGACCTTGGGTGATTTTGAAACCAATCCACATAAACTGTGCTACCTTGGAATAGAACAATTCAAGAACAGGGGACAAGCTGCATCACTGCATCAATTTCAGTCTTCCATTTTAGCTTCAGTAGACTAACTTAAGTTAGCATAACCTCGACCTCATGGCAACATCATCTCAAGAGTTGACTAAATGTCTTACTGCTAAGCAACTGTAGGAAAGGAGTTTCATGGGATTCCTCCTCAATTAGGGCTCAAAACACGTCATATTAATATTGAAAAAATAAAAATCATAGCATATTTGCTTATGAACAAGATACTAAGCATAGTCATACTGTCAGAGTTAGAGAATAGGTATCTCTGTACAATAAACAAGAGTCTCAAAATATTTGGTATTATTGTGGAGCTGTCATGATGGTTTGTTACTCAACAATAGGCACTTACTGTTAATCTTCTTCACATATAATTCCTTTTACAGAGATAGACAATTTTGTGAGCAGATGCAGTTACTAGTATGGAGGTTTCTTTGTAAGGATAGTTAAAAAGCCCATACAGGTTCTCTTATACTTGTCTTTCTCCCTGCCCCTTTGCTTATTCATCCATCTTCTACCCGACCTGAGGCAAGGATGTAAATCTTGCATTAGTCAACAACACCAAAGTGGTTTTCAATATGATTTTCTTTGCAGAATGTGTTACATCTGCCTTCTTATATTCACACATACGCTCTTCCTTTCATCTGCCTACTCAAATCTTACCTGTCCTTGAACACTTTTGAAGTTCTCCTTCACTATTCCAGCCCACACGAATCCTCCTCACAGTTATAGCCCTTAGTTAGAGAAGGCTGATATTTCTCATCCATTGTTCCAAGACAACCTCTCCTCTCCTCTTAGTCTCTCAGCTCAACAGTAAGCTGCTCAGGCCGTGGCTGTTTTTTGAGTACTTTTGTCTATCTTCTCATTGATACAATTTTAATCTATCATAAACTGTCCCTCAGAAGAAAGCTGAGATTATGTCCTCTGGGTAAATAATCCTATCTCCTTAGCATTTTTTAAAAGATTTTTTTTTATTTTTAAGTAATCTCTACACCCTGCATGGGGCTTACAAGGTATATAATAGGTGTATTATAAGGTGTATAATAGATATTCTGGTGGTGTCTTTCTGTGAATGCTTCCTATCAGGATTCATTGACAGTTTCAGCAATAAGTCCAGACCTTCAGTTTCAGATCTTTATCATATGAAATCTCCTATAAGATTTCACTAATATGAGAAGGTTTGAAGAATGGTTTATATCAGTGTTTTCTTTATATGTCCACAGTATTTGAACTATAATATTAAAAGACACACACACACACACATGAGAGAGGGGTAGATGTGAAAGAAGAAAGGAGGAACACAGGAAGATTAAATGCAAACCAGATAACTCTCCGTATTTTAAAGGACAACAAAAAAGAACTCTCGTGTCAAAAATTTTTCATTGAGAATTTTTAATCTTTTTTTATACAGATTTCTTCCTGAACGTGCCTTGGCAGCTATAAATCACTTACAGAACATTCAGTTTGAAGCAGTGATTGGCCACAAAACCAAAATGAAATGAATAATGGAGCTCCAGCCAGAGATGTCTGCACCTTAATGATGTAAATCTAAGTTTAGAATCAATGCTTCAAAGCTTAATTTCACATTTTTCAATACTGTTAATATAAAAAAAACACATTAGTTTGACATCAGCAGCAAAGGAACAAGACTAATTACCTGTCTATCTCAAGAATATTAATGTAGCTTTAACAGTCAGATCCAGTTTCATTCCATGCCCCTTAAAAACTTCTGTGCTTATGTAAACATACTCAGAAGGCCTCTTTTCTTCAGATATTTTACTTTTTTTTCTTTCTGCTTCAATGGGAACAAAGCCACCTCCCGGAGAGTAAATGCAAAGAGAAGTTACTTACACAGGGAAGGTTGAAGACCTTGTCAACATGTACGCCATGTGAGCTAGCAGTTAGAGACGAGGTTTAAGCAGGCTGCAGTGCTCCGAGGGACAAAGAGGTTACTTCTGTGAAATTCAACATCTGGAAGCTTTCACTGGCTTCTCCCTTTTCAGCAGCCCAAAACAGTGCAACGGTATTCTGTAGTTTCTTGCTTGATTCTGTCCTTTGTATCGCTCTTATATCCACCAAGAGTGGACACTATACGTTCTGCCCTTTTCATAACCTCTTAAAATACTATGACCTTATAAAACCTGACTTTCCTTGAATCTCAGAATATCTGAAATTTTTTTTTTTTAAGATTTTATTTATTTATTTGAGAGAGAGCATGAGAGGGGGGAGGGTCAGAGGGAGAAGCAGACTCCCTGCCGAGCAGGGAGCCCGATGCGGGACTCGATCCTGGGACTCCAGGATCATGACCTGAGCTGAAGGCAGTCGCTTAACCAACTGAGCCACTCAGGCGCCCCGAATATCTGAAATTTTAACCCCAGGATAAACCCCTCTTTATTTGTAGTTTATGCTTTCACATATCATTGGTACCAGAGATGTTTAGATAGTTTTGAGCTTCAAAAATGAAAACTAACACAGAAAAAAGAATTAGGCTGACTACCCAATACTAGACAGTAGATCTAAGAGATAAAAGAGTGTTCTCTTTAAAGATCTGATTCCCGGGGCGCCTGGGTGGCTCAGACGTTAAGCGTCTGCCTTCGGCTCGGGTCATGATCTCAGGGTCCTGGGATCCAGTCCCACATTGGGCTCCCTGCTCTGCGGGAAGCCTGCTTCTCCCTCTCCCACTCCCCCTGCTTGTGTTCCTGCTCTCGCTATCTCTCTCTCTGTCAAATAAATAAATAAAATCTTAAAAAAAAAAAAAAAGAAATTAAAGATCTGATTCCCACTACATCAAGTAGTAATTAATCAATTACTTGATGAGTAATTACTCATCAAGAGTAATCTTGTTTTTGTGTTTTTCTCATATATAATAGACTGCTTTTCCATCAACTATTTGCCTGTTTTTATTAAAAATGAATGATTAAACACAAATCATTAATAAAAATTTCTTAAAAACAAATGATAAATATGTTGTGCTTTTAAAAAAATAACCTCTTGTGGTTATAAAATAGAGCTTTGATTTTTAATCTCTCAGTCTCAATGAATCTCCTTCAGGAAGCAAGGATCTGGATGGTAATAGCTAGAACTAGCAGGTATTAAGGGTCCCAGGGTTCTCTCAACTTTGGCTTCTTTGACAGTAGAAGTGTTGGTTTATCAAATGACTTACTAAATTCTTTCTGTGTGTGGCACTGAGCAGAGTTTTATTGTTTTGAGATTTGTTTTTTCCTAGATATTTTGGCAATAATTTTTATTCATGATGACATTTTATTTTTATTTTTTTAAAGATTTTATTTATTTATTTATTTGTCAGAGAGAGAGACGTCCCCATGATGACATTTTAATTCCTTGCTTTAAAACTAAGAACTGGGGTGCCTGGGTGGCTCAGTTGGTTAAGCGACTGCCTTCAGCTCAGGTCATGATCCCAGGGTCCTGGGATCGAGTCCCGCATCGGGCTCCCTGCTCTGCGGGGAGCCTGCTTCTCCCTCTCCCACTCCCCCTGCTTGTGTTCCCTCTCTCGCTGTGTCTCTCTCTGTCAAATAAATAAATAAAATCTTTAAAAAAAAAAAAAAAGAAAGAAAAAAAAATAAAACTAAGAACTGTAGGGACACCTGGATGGCTCTGTCAGTTGATTGTCTGCCTTCAGCTAGGGGTCATGATCCCAGGGCCCTGGGATCCAGCCCCACATAGGGCTCCCTGCTCATCAGGGAGTCTGCTTCTCCCTCTGCCTGCCGCTCCCCCTGCTTGTACTCTCTCTCGCTTGCTCTCTTTCTGACAAATGAATAAATAAAATCTTTAAAAAAATAAATAAAACTAAGAACTGTATAAGTGAAGCTTAAAATGTGTTATTTTAAAAGTGTGATTACAAAACTTCGAAAGAGAAATATGTAAAGTAGAAAATATAAGCCTACCTCCCACAATCCCATTCCCCAGCGGTCAGGTTATTAATGCACAACCTTCTGGTCATTTTCTAATGCATATATAAGCATATATATGATAAATACATTACATTCCTTTATTGTATGTTTTACCATTTGTATTACATAATAGTTTGATAACATGCATTATATTCTGTAACTTGTTTTTTTACCTTACCAATGTATCACAAACAGCCTTTTCTTTCAGTAGAGTTTAACCTCATCCTTTTTCTTGGGCTCATAGTACTAAATGATTATAATTAACAATTCCTTTGTAATAGACATTTTGGATGTTTCCAATTTCTTTTTTTTATTTTTTTTAATTCTTTTTTTTATTCTTTTTAAGATTTTATTTATTTATTTGAGAGAGAATGAGAGAGAGAGAACACATGAGAGGGGGTAGGGTCAGAGGACAAAGCAGACTCCCCGCCAAGCAGGGAGCCCGATGCGGGACTCGATCCCGGGACTCCAGGATCATGACCTGAGCCGAAGGCAGTCGCTTAACCAACTGAGCCACCCAGGCGCCCTGGATGTTTCCAATTTCTTATGACTCAACAAATCCAAAATGGTTGAAATAATATCATGTGTATTTTCCAACCACAACAGTATTAAACTAGAAATCAATCACAGGAAAAAATCTGGAAAGAATACATATACATGGAGGCTAAGTAACATGGTACCAAACAATGAATAGGTCAACCAAGAAACCAAAGAGGAAATCAAAAAATACATGGAGACAGGGGCACCTGGATGACTCACTCAGTTGAGCATCCAGTTCTCGATTTTGGCTCAGGTCATGATCTTGGGGTCGTAAGATTGAGCCCTGTGTCAGGCTCTGCATTCAGCCTGGAGTCTGCTTGAGATTCTCTCTCCCTCTGCCCCTCCCCCCAACTCTCACATTCTCTCTCTCAAATAAATAAAATATTTTTAAAAAATACATGAGGGACGCCTGGGTGGCTCAGTCAGTTAAGCATCTGCCTTCGGCTCAGGTCATGATCCCAGGGTCCTGGGATCGAGTCCCGCATCAGGCTCCCTGCTCCGCGGGGAAACTGCTTCTCCCTCTGCCTCTGTCTCTCTCTCTGTCTCTCATGAATAAATAAATAAAATCTTTTAAAAAAAAATACATGAGACAAATGAAAAGGAAAACACAATGGTCCCAAATCTTTGGATGCAGCAAAAGATGTTTGAAGAGGGAAGATTATAGCAATACAGGCCTACCTCAAGAAGCAAGAAAAATCTCAAACAACCTAACCTTACACCCAGAGGAACTAGAAAAAGAAGAAAAAACAAAATCAAAAGCCAGTAGAAGAAAGGAAATGATAAAGATTAGAGCAGAAATAAATGAAATGGAGACTAAAAAAACAAAGTCGAAGAGGTCAAGAAAACCGAGAGCTAGTTCTTTAAAAAGATCAAGAAAACTGATAAACGTTTAGCCAGACTCATGAAGTGTGTGTGAGGGGTGGGAATCAAATAAAATCAGAAATGAAAGAGGAGAAATAGCAACCAATACCACAGAAATACAAAGGATCATCAGAGTATTATGAACAGTATATGCCAACAAATTGGGACAACCTAAAAGTAATGGATAAATTCCTAGAGATATATGACATTCCAAAACTGAATCAGAAAGAAATAGAAAATTTGAACAAACTGATTACAGTTTGTTCAAATGAAATTGAATCAGTAATCAAAAACTCCCAACAATAACAAACTCCCAACAAACAAAAGTCCAGGACCAGATAGATGGACTCACAGGTGAAACTACCAAAATTTTTTTTTTAAGATTTTATTTATTTATTTGACAGAGACAGAGTGAGAGCTCAAGCTGGGGGACAGGGGGAGAGGGAGAAGCAGGCTCCCCGCTGAGCAGGGAGCCCCATGTGGGACTTGATCCCAGGACCCTGAGATCACAACCTGAGCAGAAGGCAGATGCTTAACCAACTGAGCCACTCAAGCGTCCCTGAAACTACCAAATATTTAAAGAAGAGTTAATATCTATTCTTCTCAAATTATTCCAAAAAACAGAAGAGGAATAAAAGCTCCAAAATTTATTCTGAATCCAGGATTGCCATGGACACCAAAGCCAGATAAAGACACTACAAAAAAAGAAAACTATAGCCCAATATCTCTGATGAACATAGATGTAAAAATCCTCAACAAAATATTAGCAAAGTAAAAACAATATATTTTTAAAAATTATTTAGCACAATCAAGTAGGGTATATTCTCAGGATGCAAGGGTGGTTCAATATTCAATCAATCAACGTGATGCATCACATCAACAATAGAAAGGATAAAAACCCTATGATCATTTCAATAGATGCAGAAAATGCATTTGACAAGATTCAACATCCATTCAAGATAAAAACTCTCAAAAAAATGGGGTTAGAGGGAATATACCTCAACATAATAAAGGTTGTATTTTTTTTAAAAAAAAACCCATAGCTAACATTATAATCAATGAAAAAAACTGAGAGCCTTTCTTCTAAGATCAGGAACAAGACAAGGATGTCCACTCTCATCACTTTTATTCAAAATAGTACTGGAAGTCCTAGCTGCAGCAGTCAGGCAAAAAAAAGGGGGGGGTGGATAAAGGTATCCAAATTAGTAAGGAAGAAGTTAAACTGTCACTATTTGCAGATGACATGATACTATTTATAGAAAAGTTAAAAGACTCCACCAAAAAACTACTAGAACTGAAAAAAAAAATTCAGTAAAGTCACAGGATATAAAAATATACAGAAATCTATTGCATTTCTATACACTAAAAATGAAGTAGCAGAAAGAGAAATTAAGAAAGCAATCTCATTTACAATTGCACCAAAAAGAATAAAACACCTAGAAAGAAACTTAACCAAGACCTACACTTTGAAAACTATAAAGCTTTGATGAAAGAAATTGAAGATGACCCAACCAAATGGAAGGATATTCCATGCTCATGGATTGGAAGAACCAATATTGTTAAAATGTCCATACTACCCAAAGCAATCTTCAGATCTAATGCAATCCTTATTAAAATACCAACAGCATTTTTCATAGAACTAGAACAAATAATCCTAAAATGTGTATGGAACCACAAAAGACCCAAATATCCAAAGCAATCTTGAAAAAGAAGAACAAAGCTGGAGGCATCACAATCCCAGGTTTCAAGATATGTTACAAAGCTGTAGTAATCAAAACAGTATGGTATTAGCACAAAAATAGACACATAGGTCAGTAGAACACAATAGAGTCCAGAAATAAATCCATGCTTATATGGTCAATTAATCTACAACAAAGGAGGCAAGAATATGCAATGGGAAAAGATAGTCTCTTCAACAAAAGGTGTTGAGAAAACTGGACAGCCACATGCAAAAGAATGAAATTGGACTGTTTTCTTAGACCATACACAAAAATAAACTCAAAATGGATTAAAGACCTGGAACCATAAAACTCCTAGAAGGAAACATAGGCAGTAATTTCTTTGACATTGGTCATAGAAACATTTTGCTACGTGTATCTCCTGAGGCAAGGGAAACAAAGGCAATATTAAACTATTGGGACTAGACCAAAATAAAAATTTTGCACAGTGAAGGAAATCATCAACAAAACAAAAAGGCAATTTACCAAATGGGAACAGATATTTGCAATTGATACATACAATAAGGGGTTAATATCTAAAACATAGAACTGATACAACTTAACACCAAAAAAACCCCCACAAATAATCCAATGAAAAAAATGGGCAAAAAACATGAGTAGACATTTTTCCAAAGAAGATATGCAGATGACCAACAGACACATGAAAAGATGCTCAACATCACTTATCATGAGGGAAATGCAAATCAAAATCACAATGAGCTCTCACCTCATACCTGTCAGAATGGCTAAAATAAAAAAGACAAAAATCAACAGGTGTTGGTGAGGATGGGGAGAAAAGGAACCCTTGTGCTCTGTTGGTGGGAATGTAAATTGGTGCAGCCAGTGTGGAAAACAGCATGGAGGTTCCTCAAAAAGTTAAAAATAGAATTGCCATATGATCCAGTAATTCCACTACTCTGTATTTACCCAAAGAAAATAAAAACACTAATTCAAAAAGACATGTGCATCCCTATGTTTACTGCAGCATTCTTTACAATAGCCAAGATATGGAAGCAGCCCAAGTGTCCATTGATAGATGAATGGTTAAAGAAGCCAAGATGTGATATATATATTTCCTGCTTTAATGAAACTCGCATTCTAGTAGGGGGGGCAAACAATAGATGACAAATATTATAAGAGAGTATTTAAAATAGTAGAGTCAGGGAAGAACTCTCTGAGAAGCAACATTTTGGGGCAGAAATATGTATGAAGGCATGGCCCCTGCAAATACCTAGGGTAAAGAACATGCACATTCTGACAAAAAAGCAAACTTCTATGAAGCGCTGTATGAGGCCAGAGGGGCAGCGCAAGTGGGCAGAACTGTAGGTGATGCACTAAGAGAGGTAGGCAGCGACCAGATTACTGGGGATCACGCAGGACACAGTAAGAAGTTTTGATTTTTCTGAGTGTGAGAGGAAGGATCTGAGAAACTTGAGTGGGGATAGACCCAAATAAATAAAATCCCAGTGTTTGTTGCAAAGAAGAAAACTTTCCTTTTTAATTCCACTTTTGGCTTTAATCCTTTGTGAGGGAAACTTAGAGAAATGCCTGGATGCACAAATACTGAGCTCTCTTTGCCAATTTTCCTGCATATTTTGAGTGCAGACTCCTTCCTTATAAGTTCCAACTGAGTTTCTAAATGCTTTACCAAGACAGGCTCCATCTCATGATTCTCCCAAAGGGTTCTTACTCCCACTAAAATCCCATTTCCAGGGCTATTTCTAGGGTGTGCAGGTCCCTGGGACAATATTCCTTCTGGACTCCTGTCTATAAAAATAAGTTGATTTAAAAATATAAGGGGCGCCTGAGTGGCTTAATCAGTGAAGCATCAGACTCTTGATTTCGGCTCAGGTCATGACCTCAGGGTCCCAGGACTGAGCCCTGGGTTGGGCTCCCTGCCCAGAGCGGAGTCTGCTTGTCTCCTTCTCCCTCTGCCCCTCCCCCCTCAAATAAATAAATAAATCTTTAAAAATATATATATGTATATATTATAAAAGGGTGCCTGGCTGGCTCAGATGGTAGAGCATGCAACTCTGTCTAGGGTCATAAGTTCGAGCCCCACATTGGGGGTACAGGTTAATACTTAAAAATTTTTTAAATATATATATTATAAAATTCCTAAGTCTATGTGAAGTATAGTGACTTATTGATGAAGATTTAGAATAATAGGAAGATTTATTTATTTATTCTCCAGTCAGTGCATGTAAAGATTCTTCTTGGTATCCAGCTACCATCTCTTCTCGTGTGGTCCAGGAATCATTCCTTTCTTTTTTATTATCAAATGAGCTATTTCTTGCTAATTTCATATCTTTTGCCACAAGAAAAGGTAGCAATGCTGTTACTACTCATAATGCCATGGCGCTTGTAACATGTTTGTATTGAAATGATACGAGTCTCCTAGCCTCTACAAGACCCTACTACCATTTATTTAATGTTAGTTGCATCATTACCTTTGACTCTGCATCATCCATTGTGCTACCTGTAAATTCTGGCTTCAGTCACTCAAAGATTGCTATGGCACTTCTTTGATAATAATCACAAATTCATGTCTGACCCAGAGTGTACAGGAACACGTGAATAATTTGTTTTCTGGTCATGTTGAATTTATTACTTGAAATGCTATAGCACAGCTTGGAACAACCGTCTTCCAACTGTGTTTTTTCTTAAACTCTTCAGGCTTCCATTTCTGGAATGTAATCTTTTTCAATAATAACTCTAGAGGGGGGAAGTGTATATATAAATACATAATCTTGTATATACAATGTGTAGTTGCTACTTTATAGATCTATTTTGAAAGACTTTTTTTTTAAGATTTTATTTTATTTTTAAGTGATTTCTATATCCAACATGGGGCTTGAACTCACAACCTGGAGATCAAGAGTTGCATGCTCCACCACCTGAGCCAGCCAGATGCCCTGAAAGACTTTCTTGATAACAAGAAAGGAGTCGGGGTGCCTGGGTGGTTCAGTTGTTAAGCATCTGCCTTTGGCTCAGGTCATGATCCCAGGTCATGATCCCAGCCCCCCATCGGGCTCCCTGCTCCGCGGGAAGCCTGCTTCTCCCTCTCCCACTCCCTCTGCTTGTGTTTCCTCTCTCGCTTTGTCTCCCTCTGTCAAATAAATAAAATCTTTAAAAAAAAAAAAAACAACAAACAAGAAAGGAGTCATTTCCCATATAGTGTAAGTATAAGTTCTTTTTATCTGACAGCAACAAATGATATATTTTTTAAATTTTTTGTTTAAAAATTCTGGAAGGATATACACCGAAATCCTTCCAGTGGATGGTAGGATTTGAGATGATTTTTAATTTTTTTCTATTGTTGTCTCTATTTTCAAGGTCTTTCCAGCCTTTGTCTGGGTTAGGACTTTTTTTTTCTCTTTCATTTTGACAATTAACATTTAAAATATAAAATTTTCATAAGAGAAAAGCTTTTTCATTTCAGATAAAGAGTGCTGTGGGATTAGAAATTATGTTAAGAAGGGGTGCCTGGGTGGTTCAGTCGTTAAGCGTCTGCCTTCAGCTCAGGTCATGATCCCAGGGTCCTGGGATTGAGCCCCACATTGGGCTCCCTGCTGAGCAGGGAGTCTATTTGCCCCTCTCCCTCTGCCCCTCCCTCCATTCATGCTTTCTCTTTCTCAAATAAATAAATAAAATCTTTTTTAAAAAAAACACATAACATTAAGTTTTCCTCCTTAACCGTTTATAAGTGTACAGTTCAGTAATGTTAAGAGTATTCACATTATCATGCAACAGATTTCTAGAACTTTTTCATCTTGCAAAACTGAAACTCTATACTTTTTTAAACTCTTTATCATCAAATAATTATTTCCTTTCTCCTCCTGCCCCCAACCTTTCTACCTCTTGTTTCTGTGCTTTTGAGTACCTTAAATACTTCATATGTGTGGAATCATATGGTGGAATCATATCCATTTCACTTAGCATAATGTCCTCAAAGTTCATCCATGTGGTAGCATGTGACCAGATTTCCTTCTTTTTTAAGGTTGCATAATATTCTATTGTACCTATGTACCACATTTTCTTTGTCTATTTGTCTGTCAGTGGGGGATATTTGGATTGCTTCCACCTCTTTCTTCTATTATTTTTAAGCAAATCCTATATATCATATTTTTGGAAATATTCTTTATTTCATATTAATCCAATCCAAATTATGTCATCTCGTATTAAGTAAGTTAAGCCCCTAATACAATATTATATACATCTGGATGATAATTATGTTACAAGATATATATTTGGGCAAAGGACATAATAAAAGAAGAGAAAGAGCTTATCAGTGAGTAAAATGTTCAATTTTTTAAAATTTAGGGACTTGTATTGATATTGAAGTTCACCAATTTATCTTTCCAGAGTTAGGACAAAACAAATGTCCCGTTCAAGCACTAAAACTGGATAATTTATATAGAGATTGCCTTAATATGATAACTTCAGATTTTCACCAATATCGGTGTTTGCTCTAAGACTACAAACAACTCAGATGGTAAACACGTTTTAGGGAAAAATTCTTAAATCAAAAAACTATGTTATCAGCTATATCTTACTAAAACTCAATTCTGGCATTTAAAATTTTTTTTCAAGTGTAGTTAACTTCAGTATTATATTAATTTTAGGTGAACAATGTAATGATTCAACAATTCTATACATTATTCAGTGCTCATTATGCTAAGTGTACTCTTAGTCACCTTCATCTGTTTCACCCCCTCACCCCCCAGCTCCCTTCTGGCAACCACCAGGTTGTTTTCCTGTAGTTTGAACATTTTATTTCATTTTTTAAGATTTTATTTTTAAGTAATCTCTACACCCAATGTGGGACGAGAACTCATAACCCCGAGAACAAGAGTCGCACACTCCACTGACTGAGCCAGCCAGGTGCCCGTATAGTTTGAACATTTTAAAATCAGTGAGATAACTGGCAAAATTTGAATAAAATTATAACAGTGCTGATTTCCCAGTTTTAATAATCATACTCTGGTTTATGTAAGATATTAACATTTTGAGAAACTGGTTGAAGGTTATACTTGTACTATTTTTATCACCATTATGTAAATCTAAAATTATTTCAAAATGAAAAAGGTTTTGAGTGCTAGTTTCTCTATATGTAACTGGCATCTTCTGAGTAAAACTTAGATTTGCCCTTTTAAAATTCTGAGCTTGATGGTTAGAGATTGAGAAATGCACACTGTGAGAAGGTAAAGATAAAAGGATGATGGTCTTGGTCATACTATATCCGAGCAAGCAGCAGGGAACTTGCCAAGAGCTTCCTGCCCAGAGACCCAGTTACCTTTCTGATGTGTAAAGGAGGGCCAAGTGCCAATAACCAAGCAGAGACACCCACCAAGTTCTTAATCTTCGACTTTTTATATAAAATGGAATTTTCTCAGAGTGCCTAGGTCGCTCAGTTGGTTAAGCATCGGCCTTCAGCTCAGATCATGATCCCGGGGTCCTGGGATCAAGCCCCAGTGTTGGGCTCCCTGCTCACTGGGGAGTCTGCTTCTCCCTCTCCCTCTGCCCCTTCTCCCCTCCCGCTCATGCCCCTTCCCCTCAAATAAAGAAATAAAATCTTTTTAAACAATAACAACAAAAAAAACACAGAATTTGCATCTGCAAAAAGACAAACTAGGGCACCTGGGTGGTTCAGTCATTGAGCATCTGCCTTTGGCTCAGGTCATGATCCCGGGGTCCATATCGAGCTCCCTGCTCCACAGGGAGTCTGCTTCTCCCTCTGCCCCTCCTCCCACTCCCACTCATTCTCTCAATCTCTCTCCCTCTCTCTCTCTCAAATAATAAGTAAAATTTAAAAAAAAAAAAAAAGACAAACTAAATATGAAACTTAGAGACATCCAGAATACAGGAGAAAGGGGACTTAGAGTCATTTTAATTTATTATCATTAGCGTAAAGGAAAATAATACAAGTTAGATAAACTATACCTGTTTCCCTAATAACTGGAATAATTATGTTTTTATGAATTTCTTCTTCATGCTTCCTTCCTGTGTGTCTGCATGAGCTTATCACAAGGTCTCCCTGTGTTTGATAAATTTGAGCTGACGCCTGACCCTTTATTGTGCAATTAATACCATCTTTGAGCCTTAAAACTACGAGTAGCTATTAATTTCATAGTAGTTGTTGTCCGGTAAGCAAACACAAGTCTTATCTTAAAGATAAAGCTCTAGGTAGTAGAGCCAGGTATGAAAGAAAACTGAGCTAAATTGATATAACACAAGGCAAATAGATGGTCTAAGAAAAATTCAAAGCAACCATTTCACTTAAATGGTGCCAAAGATGCAGTTTCAGTCAATCAGATGTTTTTTTATCATATAGACACTACTTGAATGTTAGTTCCTTTTCTAGGTTTCTAGTCATGCCAATATGTTGAAAACAAGATGAGCTTCATGTAAATGAAATCTGTGCAGCCACTCAGGGCCCTGTGCTCGGAACGGCCCCACGATTGTTTTCATACTCTGCTGCCGCCATCTTGAAAGTCATAATAACTTAGGAACAGGGGATCCCACATTTTTGTTTTGTGCAGGGCCCTGCAAATTGTGGCTGGCTGAAGGTGCCTCGAACTACCAACCAGCTCTTATCCAGGACAAGATTTTGTGGACATCATGGCCTTCAGTGCCTAAAGCCCAGCCCCAACCCCTGTCCCATCAAGCTGAAAAGTAAGATTCCAGCCTTAAGGTTGTTATCACTTACCTAAAAGGTACTCAGTGAATGTTAATTTCCATCCCTGTCCCTCTCTCCTTCGCATTCTTCCTTTCCTCTCTCCCTCTTCCTCACTTTATTCTCCTTTTCTCCTTCCATTTCTTCCCCTCCTGATTCACCCACCACCTTACCAATTCTTCCTCCTTCATTCGCCTCTTCCCTCCCATTTCTGATGCTTCACATTCCCACTCCTCTCTCCCCCTTTCCTTTCTATCGAATCCTCTCCCACCCCCATTCCCCATTCAGGGTGAGACCTTCAAGAGCTTGTACTCCGGGAGCCAGC